TCGAATCAAATTTCTTTGGCTCTCGCGGCCATTCGCAACTGGGGGCAGAAACCCGATGCCAGCGCGAATGCAACAGCGAAGTGGCAAATTATAGTGGCCGAGGCCGAGGATATTGTGCTAAGGCTTCCGCAGGCATGGGCTCTGCCTTTTGCCATGTCGTGCATGGGTGGCGAGATGGCAATCGACCATTCCGGCACGATCCAATTGTTGAGTCGTCGCAGTGGAATCGAAGTGAGACAGACACAGCCCTTGTCCCGAACCAGCAGAGAAGGACCGCAGCGCATCTCCAAGGTGCCCGAGTCTGCAGACGGGCGTGTGCCTGCGGAGTTCCAGCGGCCTACGACCAGTCGGTTGGACATGACCGTGGTTGACAGGATCGAGCAGGTAGGCGGAAATGTGAGTGTGAACATTGTCGGGAATGACAAGGGAAGCTTGCCAATTAAGATCGGTGGGACACTCCAGATGAGACTCGATGTCAAATCCGTGGCGGCTTCTGCTCTGGCAGCTTTGCCCACCCAGGATTTTGGATATGTTTTCTTTGCAGATGAGTTTACATGGCACAAATCCAGCGGGAAGGTTTACAAGGTCATGGCAGTGCTGAGCTGTGGGTACCTTCGCTTGCTGGAATGGCCACTGCGATCTGATCCGTTGAAGAGGCTGGAAATGAAGACTGAGCAGCTGCAGATCGATTTGGCGAAGATGACGAGGCATCCGACCATTGAGGACAAGGAGCTAGGACCGTGCTTGCTTCTGGAGCGCAGAAAGGATGCCATGCTCTGGGGCTACTCCGACGTAACGGAGCGTTTGTGTGCGGCAAGAAGCCAGGCACAAGCCCTCGGCAAGGCGATCACCATGCAAATACGTCGATTCGACACAAAATTCCACAACCCCCAGGCTGCCGATTGGAGATATGGCACGCATGTAGCAGGAAAGCCGCAGTACGTGCTGCCCCAGGACACCGTGCAAACAAATCTCCTGACAGTCTTGGACAGGCACACGTGGAGCAAGACACAAGGAGGCTCGAGCCACCCCGCATTGCTTGAAGCGGCGGCCACCTCAAGGATCAGCTCTAGGTCCTCTAGGTCGGTGACAGAAGGCCACGAGATGCCTCAGCATGTGAGAGCACGGCATTGGACGGAGCTACCAAAAACTCTAACCCAAAAGGGTAGCTTCGAGTCCAAGGCTTGCCGTGCACAAGAGGAGCTGGATTCCATCCGCTATCCACCGGAGAAGTATGGCAATGCCTCGATTCGCATGGTCATACCGGCAACTCGTATTGGTGATTTGCATCTCCTCATCTAGAAGGTCCAGGTCGTAAGCTTTGACGTTATAGGAAATCTTGTCCGCAACAGCGACACGACCTTCTCCTTCGAGCTTGGGGGCATCGACGGGCCTGCAACCGTGCACGTCTATGTTGACGGAGACACGGCTGCACAGATCACATGATTTGTCCTTGAGAGCCTATCGGTGAACATTTGTGACAAGCTGATAACGAAACCTCGAGTTCTCAGCGTCGCTGCTTCGAACTGCCGACACCCAGGAATCAAGTTCAAGGCTCCGGACTCTGCTGTCCCGGGCATCACGAAGGCCGCTGCCAAAATCGACAGCTTCTTGCGGCCAGCCCCCTGGCCTCCACAGAAGGCCGAGGTCCAGAATTTCCTCAGCATTCCTACTGCTACTGCTCTTTTGAGCAGCCAAAAAAGGGCCCGGGGCAGCTCAGGTCTTCACTTTGGGCACCTCCAAGGCCGACAGCCTCAAGGAGGGGCCCTTGAAGGCCAGCTTCAAGATGAAGGGGGAGTTCAAGCTGAGCGAAGGCGCAGGGAGAGGGGGGGGCCTTTGGATTATGGGCCCAAGCTCAAGCCTCTGTCGCAGAACAGAGAGCGGAGGTGGGCATTGGGAGGTGCTGCCCAAGGCCGTCTCTGACGTGAAGTTGGTCTTCGGACGCGGAGGTATCGTTCAAGGCAAGGCGTCGAATCCAGAAACGTGTTCGCTCGTTGTCCTCGAGACCCTGTCTCAGGGGGAGCCAGGTGAGGTGAGTTACCGGCATTCCCAATGACATGTCGTCTCCGTCTCTCCTCATGTCAAGACATGGCCTCTGCAGTAGTAGCCATTTGTCTGCCACTGGCAGGCTTGCACGCTATTGAGTTTAGATGGTTTCCGGCTGTTGGATTCATTCCCCTGAAATCAAACGTGGCTGTGGCAAGGGATGATCAACTATTTGGTGGACGCCTACGGGAACATGGATGCTGCTCGCTGTAGACAAGCCCTTTCAAGTAGCCCGGTGGTTTCCGAAGAGGGCCGAGTTGGGTGGTGCTCAGGAGATCTTTCTGACTTCGGTGTGGCCAGTGCTGGCGAGCGCCATCCCAGAGAGTCTGGGCCAAGCTTTCGTGCAGATTCCGAGAAGGCCGGCTCATTCACTCGTCTCGTGAGCGCTAGGAGCCCCCTAAGCTACTTCCCGCAGCGGCTCGGCAGGGATGGGCAGCTCCGGCACCGCTTCAACCTCCACGGCCGCTGCTTGGTACCCCTCGAGGACGGGGAGCGGTGCGAGACCGACCAGGACGGCGGGCGGTTGTTGACGACGGCCCCCCCTCCCTTTCTCAAGTCAGAGCCACTATCACTCTTCAACCTAGCCGAAGCACTCCGCAGCAGACATCTGCATTGAAGGCAGCAGCATTGCTTAAGACTGTTTCATGTTCACCGCAGGCTTTCTTTTTTTTTTGTTGGCAGGGGGGGGGAGCGTGGGGTTTGGGTTTCGGGTGGAGGGCAGTGGGGGCGCACGCAAAACATGAAATAAAGAATGCAAGCAACATCTAAAGAAACACATAAAGAACACATGAACGATCAAGATACAAAATGACAGCACGAAAGAAGGAAAGACAGAGACACACCCGAAAGACAGACAGAACGGAGAAGCAAATAAGGGAACCCAAAAAAGAGCGACAGACAGAAAGAGGAAACAGGAACTACATAGGTAAAGAAAGTTGCAAGAAATAACAAAGAAATAAAGAGGGAACTAAAGTCAACAAGAAAGAAAGAAATTCTTCAACGAAATAACTAAATAACCAAAGAAACAACGAACTCACGAAATGAGGGAATGAATGAAGGAGATACCGACATACACAATCACAGAAAGAAAGAAATCCATAAAGAACGGATGAAGGAAGCAACTAACGACACAAATAAAAAGTCAGTCACAGGAAGACTGAACGAAATAAGTAAAGATAGAAACAAGGAACACAAGACAGAAAGAAGGAACCAAGGACACAACGAAATATCTCAATAACGACAGAGACATAAAAATGAGGAGAGAGAGGAGAGAGACCACATTCATAGACGTATAAGTATAGTTAGACAGATCGACAACGAAAGAATTCACGACAAGAACGACACCCGAGGGTAAGCAAACGCTTCAGAGCTTCAGAGTTGTTGCTGCTTCTCGCGTCGAGGAACGAGCTTTGCCATGCTTCGTTCAGCGTAGGCTTAGGTTTTCTGAGCCATTTCGCAACACAGCATGCAAGGAGCGCTGCATCATTCGCATTCGCTTACTAACATCTGCTCGCCTTTGCAATGTGCTGCCACTTCCCTCCGAGCGGCCTTCGTCCGCTCTTCTCTCAAGTTTCGTGTCGCCTGTGTGTCTATGCCATGCAAAGACCGAGCCCTGGCAGGTCAGCATCGTCCTTCAAGACCTCACGGAAACAGTCATTTTGCCAAAGCCTTTGGTAGAGAAGTATCTTGTGAGCCGCGCGGCGGCACCGAAACTCTGCAGGACTCTGCTATGGCGAGTGCATCAGCTCGCACTCGCAACCAGCAGCTGAGGCCAGAACTGCGCCAAGTCCTGTGAGGCCCGCCTGGACCCCTGGTGTGAGGGGTTTTTGGCCGGTATGCAAGCGTGGTCGCCATGGCCCTGGTCCGTTCACTGCAGAATCCCTTCTTTCGTTGGGAGGCGGTGGAACAGTCGATGCCCATGCTGCTGCTGCAGTCCTATGTCAACTCCGCGGAGGTGCCCGGAAATGCGAAATTGGTTCAGCTTCATCCACGCCTAGAACCAAGCCCTAATGCCCTGCCCCTACCAAATGTGTAAGCGTAGGGGTGAAGGCGTTGCTTCTTCTGGAAGCCCAGCAAAGTTTGGCAACTCAATTCCTTTCCCAGCTTGGTTCGGGACCGTGTCTCACGACAACCATGGCTCCTTCCGACGGCTTGGGCTCATCGCACCTAGCAACATGCGGCACGGGAAGCTCAATGTATCTCAACGTCTCGCAACGTACAAGCTCTAGCCGCGGGGCTGGTGCAAGGCCTCTGTTTTCAGTGGCACCTCCACGGACGCTACCCTCGAAGTGGACTACTCAGTCCAGCTCTCTGGCGCAGAAGTATGACTGCAGTGGGTTGTTTCGGCGTTGCTGGGTGTTATTGGGGTTCAGGCTCAGGTTTGAGTATGTCTAGGTAGAACGTGCGTGTCTTCTGGAGCTCAGTGCATGCAGGCCGTCAGGCTCGCAGCGGCGAGTAATGAGTAATGCCCTGTTACTTTGATTCGCGAGAATCCTTTGGTTGGGTGTCAAGGTACTCTCTTGCTTCCACTAGGACGCTAGGAGTCAGCGGATCGGCATTCCCTCCCGCCACACTCCGAAAACCGGCCGGAGGGAGTTCACCAAGATCCGGGTTGAGGGCGGAGCTGTGGCACCAATGAAGCTTCTGGAGATTGGCCTGGGCAGCTAGGCTCAATTGCGGATTCAATTGTGTCGTCACAGCTTCGGTGTTGCTTCGGGGCGTCCAGCTTTCCATGAGCCCTATGCTGGCAGAGCATGGTGCCCCAGGAACTTGAGACTGCGATGAAGCTAGCTTATGGGTTCTGGTTCAAAAAAGAGAACGAAGAAAGAAGCTCTTTCGGCAGCTCCGACATCAATACCACTACCGCTACGCCGACTAGTACTGCTGCTACCTCTATTCCTAATCCTACCCCTATTGCGACTCCTAATCATCCTAATCATCCTCCTGCTCTTCCTCCTACTCCTACTCCTGCTCCTACTCCTACCCTTATTACGACTACGACGATTACTACTTGCTTGCTCCTTGCTTGCTTGCTTGCTTGCTTGCTTGCTTGCTTGCTTGCTTGCTTGCTTGCCAACAACAACAACAACTACTACAACAACAACAACAACTACTACTACTACTACTACTACTACTACTACTAGGTCATATGCTTCCGGGGTCGCGCTTCCGCGCGCAGTGCAGGCAACGGCAGCAATCTTCTGGCGAATCTGCTCCCGGCGGTGCCAGGAAAGCTCACATCTGTGGGCTCGATGAGCATCATAGAGGGCAACAAGGCCAGGAGCACAGCTCGCAGTGCCTGTTGGTTCGGGGGGTTGATGTCGCGCTTTGGGGCCGGCCCAAAACCCAGAATTGGGGAGAGGTAGGTGAGTCGATGTGATGGCGGACTAGATTGCCTGGCACCAGTAGCACAGCAAGAATCTGAAAGTTGTCAACACCACCCCCCCCTCAAGCGACACAGCCAGGTGGTGATACCAGAAGTCTGCGGCCGAGAATGCCGTCCTGGAGAGAGGGGGAGAGAGAGAGAGAGACTGAGAGGACCAAACACTATATCTAAGAGCGAATATTCCCTGATGCAAAGTCGCACCGGGGCTTCACCTGTCAGTCGGGTCATGCAGCTGTAAGAGTGGGATCGAAGTGAGGATAGCTGGGAGCTCAAACTGCATTGTTATTCCTCACAGAACAGCCCTGCAATGACCGGGAATCACAGCAGCACCTTTCGCACTGGGGCCCGATACCGAACGAGCTGGTCTGGGCAGGGAGGTACCTAACCTGAGCTTTAGATGTCTGGATTCGGGGCTATGCCGCAGTGTTCGGGGACGCGGTGTGCTTTACGCCGACCCCGGAATGGAAGGGCGTGGCGCTGTGCGCATTGAGGGCCCGGACCAAGCAAGCAAGCAAGCAGGTAAGCAAGCAAGCAAGCAAGCAAGAGAGAGAGAGAGAGTTTGCTGTGTCTTTTGTTGTGCAAGAAAAAAACAGGCCAGAGAAGGGGGAATAATGTAGTTGGATCAGTCCACATATGCTTTCTCCTCTATCCTGGGGTTACATGTTGTAGTCATAAACTGATCCGACTCTTTGACACCCCCAAGACAACAGATGTAGGGGGAAGTACAATACCTCCTGAGCATGTGTCGCCGAGGGTGTACGACCTACCAATTAAGCTACCGTATACTTTATGACCTTAGCCTTAGTCCCTGGTGTGTCTAGACTCGTTCGTCACTCCCCCGAAACCCGAATAATACATTCGGGTGGGCCATCTGCCCGGGGGCCTTGATCGGCCCTCATGCCCGGGAGAGAGAGAGAGAGAGAGAGAACTGAACACATCACGAGGGCAAGGGGGTCTCCCCCTACACAGGTACAGCCGCTAGGGAAACTGACCAGGGTAGCACTGTTTTTTGAGGGATTCTCTCCCGTCTGTTGGGCTTTAGAATTCAGCATTTTGGTTGCTTTCACCTTTCTAATCTGGGGATTCCTCGTCTCTTTCACGCTGAGTCACATGGGCGACAATGGACTCGCCGCGCTGCGAAGACCTTGAGACATGACTGCCGAGCATTCGCCCGGGGGGGGGGGGCTTATGGGTCACTCTCTTCTCCTGGAGCCAGCAAACAAGCAAGAGAGAAAAGCACCTGTTCGAAACCCACCAAAACGAGAATGAAGGTGAACTCGTGTGCGAACCTCCTCAAGGCCACCCAGTGGGGATGCAACGAAGCCCGCTCCCGACCGCCACAACCGGGGAAAGCAACCTTCGCGTGAAGACCGAAGTGGAAGATCCAGATTGGGGGGAAGAGGTCGACGATGCCATGCTAAACGCGGCCCCTGATAAACTTACTTACAGTACTCTGAAAAAAACAGGGCAGCGGCGCTGGAGCTGGCACTCAGGACACCTGTGTCGCGGGAGAAAACTGGCCCACTCGACCCTGCGGCCAGCTCACCTTACGGTTAAGAGAGGGGCCTGGTAGGGACCTTTAGAAGTTGGAGCCCCCAAGCCCGTTCGATCCGTGGCGGCTCCAGCAACAACACAACAACGGCAACAACAACAACGACAACGATAACAGCAACGACAACGACAGCAACAATAACAGCAACAACCAACAACCAGCGACCACAGCCACCACCGCCACCACTAAGGCGCGGCTGGAACGCTTGCGGCTGCCTCTGCTGTTCCTCGGCAGCTTGGAGATCCGTGTGGGAGTTCTGAGTTTAGCGACGCTGTATAGGTCCGCCAAATCGGGAGTGCAAACCCAGGCTCGATGGGCAGCAGGAAGCCTTGGAGCTTAACCTGACGCTCAGCAAGGCTTTTCGTGTCGGAAGTCACAACCCGGCCGATCAAGAGTCGTTGGTGCACCCGTCGCAGAGCTTGGCTGGAACTGTGGTCGCGCAGGTCCAAGCCATCTCAAACGGCCCCGCTTCGAGCCTGGCGCTTGGAGCGCTTCACCCCACCATGCTGTCGCTTGAAGTTGCTGCCAGTTGATGGGGTCGAGATCTGCGTGGCAGGCATCCTCGACGTGATTGTTGGCTATGTGGACCTGACGATGGACCGAGAGTTTTGGCAAAATTGATTTACCGAGAGGCTGGTGGCAATGCAGTTTAGGCATTGGGGTTCTGGTGTTTTGTATGTCAAGGATGTCAAGGGCTCGTCTTCCATTTCGAAAAGGCCCCGAAAAATCCTTGTGCCTGGCCGAGGTCCTTGGCTTGGTCTTCAAGAGGAAGGATTCGCACCAACTTCCCCTGCTCGACATCACCGTAAACCGCATCTCGGCTTTCTGGGGCCAACACACGTATATGTGTGTGTATATATGTATATATATATATATATTATATGTGACATACAAACATACATACACACATACGTATATGTATATATATATACACACACACACACACACGTGAGGTTCTATAATGCCGCCGACCCCGAGGAAGGCTTCGTGCGCGCGAGAGTCGAAGCGAGTTTTTTCGTTGCGCGCGTATTAAATAAGTTGATGAATTCCAGGCAGCTCAATGCACGATATAATTCGTTTCCTGTAGTTTGGGGCAGTGGAGCGTGGGTGTGTGAAAACAAGCCAAGGAGGGCCAGGGCGGGCAGGGTGGCGGCCGTGTGTCTTTTGTGTCTGTTGTGTCTTTTGGAGGGGTTGGGCATGCATTGGAGTGGACTGCAATGGCTCAACTACCACCAAAATACCGTGAAAACAAGCCAAGGAGGGCCGGGGCGGGCATAGAGGCGGGCGGTGTGTCTTTTGTGTCTTTTGGAGGTGTTGGGCATGCACTGGAGTGGAACTCAATGACTCAACTACCACCAAAATACCATGAAAACAAGCCAAGGAGGGCCGGGCAAAGTGGCGGGCGGTGTGTCTTTTGCATCTTTTGGAGGGGTTGGGCATGCATTGGAGTGGAACTCAACGACTCAACTACCACCAAAATCCCATGAAAACAAGCCAAGGAGGGCAGGGGCGGGCAAAGTGGCGGGCAGTGTGTCTTTTGTGTCTGTTGTGTCTTTTGGAGGGGTTGGGCACGGATTTGAGTGGAATTAAATGCCTCAACTACCACCAAAACGGCATGAAAACAAACCAAGGAGCCTTCAACCAGAAATGAGAGAGCATCTTCGATGTGTGGAGTGTAGAGAGACCTGTATATCGTAGTGTTAGTAGCACATGTGACAGCTCATTTAGTGCTTTCCTCTGGCTTTGGAATGAGGCTCCCCTCTGGCTTTGCCCACAAAGCAAGGATGTTCCTAGTAAGAATTAGCCGACCTCCTTCTTCTTCCAGCGACATCGATTTTCAATGTCCTGAAAAAGCAGCTCAAGCTCGCGACAGTACATACTGATTTTCATAACCGTTTACCGTTGTTGTGCCGTATTTAGTCGCTGCACGCTGCCCAGGTTGTGTCCATAGGCTTGTTGTTGCAGAAGCGGCATATAGCGGCGCTCTGGCCGTAGCTTTGAGCTTTCTTCTGACATAAACAGCACCTGTGTGTCATGTATGCCTGATGCTTTCATAGATAGTGTGTGCAGAGGTTCGTGTTTTCAGTTCAACACAAACATGCTGTTCATCACTGTCACGGGGAATTCCAGGTGCACAAAACACACAGACTTATTCCTTTATTTGTTTATGTGCGCACCTTCCCCCGTAGGAGAGTGGCGCGGCTAACTGCATGACCCGTGACGAAATGTCAGCGAATTATGCCATGTCCAGTGCATAGCAGTCTAAGTTTGGGTGTGGTTCAGCCAAATGAACATGAATTCTTGGGAGTGTCGGTCTTGCATGGGGCTCTCGTTGTGTATGAAGAAGTGTGAGCAAGCTCAAATCTACCAGCTACAAGCAATCTTCTCGCAATCGTTTGGGGCCCCTCCTCCTGAAGCTGCATGTTGTGTCCACGTTGACGTCTTAATTACTACAAAAGAATCGAATAGAACAGAGCAGAGCAGAATGGAATACAAAAAGGAGCCCCAGGGCTCTCGGCTTGCGACTCCGCCCTGATAGGCACGTACATCAACGACATGGTCTCTGCCGCCGAGCATGCGTGGCCTCAACCATTAAATGCCTGCTACTTACCGTACCGCTTGTATGTGCTGGGACGGGCCGGGGTTGGACCAGGGCTGCATTTTGATGTTTGTTTTCGCTTTTTCGGGCAACGTTGTACACAATCTCCGTCTGCTGGTTGCACCGGGTCATTCATGCGTCTGCCTGCTGATATGCAGAGTTTTGGTCATGCAGTCAGATCCCCACTCGGCTGGCCATTGGCTGATGGCAGTGTGGCTATCAGAGAGCAGAGGTCCGCACGGCGGCTGCCAACCGGCCTGATGGTGAGGTGCCTCAGGCCTTCAGGCAGAAACAGGCCCGGAAGCATAACGGTAGCCTGCCCAGCTGAAGCTCGAAAGAGCAGGGTTTCTTGGAATGCACCTGGCCAGTCCATCGTGCCGGGCGAGCTGGACATTCGCAAGACCATGGCGCAGGCAGCTTCATGCGGAAGCCCCTTCGGGAAGGGGAAAAACCCCTGCCTTTTCGGAGCTTTTGAGTGGTTCGTGGTCACCAGGAGAGTTTCTGACTCGCTGGCTTGCTTTCGTTTGCTGGCTGACGCTTGCCTGCCCCTCCAGCAGCAACGGGAGCAGAGGAGGGAGCAAACCCGCGCACCTACGGGGAAGCAAAGCCACCTTCCTGGTTCTGAAAAGAACGTGAAATCGAAGCCCCACAACACATAGAGCTTCAATCGTCGGACAGTGTCTCGCCTCGGATCAGGCTCATCTGGGAGCTTCCGTGAGCCTTTTCGGCGAGATCGATGCCGCCTCAGGAGAAGCGACCCGGCTGCACGGCTTGGAGCACAGGCGGAGATCTCATGCAGAATGTGCTGGTGCGCCTGCTGCTGACCGCAAGACGGTTGTGTCAGGACTCATGCTGCTGCAGAGATCCCTGCGGAAACATTTTCTTCCGAAATCGCACCGAAACTGATTCTGAAGAGTTTTTAGGCAAGACGCGCGACATGAAAGCAGAAGTCCAAGGATCTGTTGAACGTCTCTGCCGCGGTGGTCTTCAGAGCCACGCTCGACCTTGGAAGCGCTTTCTGGCGTGCTGTGGTGACGCGCCGCGAGAAGGACTTCGGCTTCGTGCACGCGCCGCGAGCCCAGCCGCATCCGCAAGGGTTCTAGAAGCTTCTGAAAATGTGGAGCCGCGGACTTACATCAAAAGGGTCACGGCTTTTCAGAAGCTTCGTTCCAGACTCGCCCAGAGTCTCCGAATCAGACCTTCGCACATCCCTGAACCGTAATCCCTCAGCTGGCACTTGCTGAGTCCGAGCGTGAAAGTGAATCTCCAACGAGCTCTGTAAGGTCGCGAAGAGGCGTTTGGGGCGCGTTGGAGCATAGCAGGTTGCCAACGAAGCTTGGGGCATTGTGCTTGATTCTTGTGGGGGTCATTTTCAACAAGATACCGCATTCATTGTAAGAAGACTTTTGGAGACTCGATGGCCCGTAACTTGGGTTTGTGGATTCAGAGAAATGGCGCTGTCCTGAAATTTAGGCTGCGTGCATAGTTCCGAAGAGTACAGGCAGGCAGATAGTCTTGCACGTTGTTATGCTGATCTTCTATGAGCCGTTGCAACTGCGCAACTACACATCTGCGCATCCTGTATGATTGCCCATTTTTGCCCAGTTGACTCCGAGCCTTGCGTCGTCATCATGTCGTATGTTGTGTCGTGCCAGTCGCGACTAGTAGTCCGTGATCTTGCCCACTGAAAAATTCAAGACAGCGTGCAGTGTTTATCGTGATTTTTCAGTTGCTGCATGTTTGTCCTTTAAACTTTAGTAGGCAGTGTTCCATGATGCTGGGAGCGCTTCACAGCAAGGCACCGCGTACTACTGGACATTGGGTGCGGCCAGCTGCGGATTTTCGATGACAGTGAAGGCAAGGAGTCTCCCATCGTTTCATAGGGCGGCTGGCTCTTTCTCCCTCTCTCTCTCTCTGCGCCTCTCTCTCCCTCTCTTTCTCTCCGTCTTTCTCTCTACAGCCTCAGCAGACAACATGAGATTTGTCCTGCGCCCTCGAAGCTGCCTCAGTCAACTGTAACCTGATTTCGAAAACGCTGGCACAGGGTTGCGGAAAAAGTGAGAGGCATGCGTTCTCAGCCGAAATGCAATGATCTACCGGCTGTCAGGTGCCGAGCCATACGGGAAGCTGGTGCACTCTGTCGATTTATATGTGCCTCGCAGGCACTGCAGCTGGTACTATGGCCCACGCCATACAATACTTCAAAAGTTCTGCGAATCCACTTCGGGGCTCGGCTTCCCAGCCGACAGCAGAAACACCTCACTTCTAGGAGACATGCAGGGGACCCTGGGACCCTTAGACCTTTAGATTCTTGGGAGACTGTCCGCTGTCCTCTGTCCCTCAGACGGTCCGGACTGTACGTTTCCAGACGCAGACTCCGAACTCCAGCTCTCCAACACACTGGGTTGCGATTGGCGCGGTTCAAATCGCTGCACCCGATGCTGAAAGCGTTACAAGGTTCGGTCGCGGCTATAGGTGCTTTCAATCTGCATTGTAACTTACAGTAGCAGCTGAGTTGTCCACGACTTTCCACTAAAAAGTCCAGGACCTCTGGAAGGACAAGGAGTTCGATCCAGAGAACGCAGATTACGGGCCATGAGCCCTGGCTCGTGATTCACGTCAAGTCTTGGGCCCTTGAGGCTTCTGTGTTGTGGGCTTTTAGGGCTTCCGATGTGGATCTGAAGGGCAGGGGAACGGACTGGGCAACACGCCACGAAGCCTTGTGCTTTTCCAAAAAAACGCATTGGAGACTCAGGCATGTTTATCACTGAAACCTTTTGGCAAAAGATCCTGAGCTGCACGTCTGAGGGGCCTTTGCTGACTTAGGATTCTGGAGTTCGGTTGCAGCGTTGTGGTCCCGGAGAGGTTGATTCAGAATTCAGATTGGCCACGGCAAGCTGTCCGTGCAAGGCCTTGCTTGGATTCGATGCCGAAGGTTTTGACGCTGTCTCGGTGCCCTGTCTGGGCCAAGGAACTATTTCTGCGCGGAGGTGCCTTGTTCCTTGCACCACTCCACCGGCTCTGCATTGGGGGTGTACCGTAGATCATCTTGCAAACGACGCTGCATGTACGATTTGTGAGTCTCCCGGTATGCAAACGAGAGCGCAGGCGCGGCGGAACGCACAGCAGGAGCATCATCATCGTCATCGTCCTTGTCGTTGTAATCATCATCGTCTTCTGTTGGTTGACAGTCGACAACAGAGTGCTGTATTTGGACCATGAGTCATGCCATGGCAGTGTTTAACATGGCATGCGAGGCGAAATCCATGAAGTTCGTGCGAGAGGCCCTGTCGCTGCAGTTGGTGCCTTTGCAGACTTCGTGGTTGCCTTTGCAGAAGTCATGTCAAGTGTTTCTTCTTCGTTGCATTCACCACAACTCCACTGCTACTGCTAGTGCAACCGCTACCGCTACCCGCTTCTGCTGCTGCTACTGCTGCTGCTGCAGCTGGTACTGCTACTGCTACTGCTACTGCTGCTTTTGCTGCTGCCGCTAATGCTGCTGCCGCTAATGCTGCTGCTAGCGCCGCTGCTGCTGCTGCTTCTTCTTCTTCTTCTTACTACTACTACTACTACTACTACTATCACCACCACTGGTTTTATTAAATGACCTTTTGGTCATTTTGGTCGTTTAGGTCATTTTGGTTTAGGGGGGTGGAGTGCAGTCGTGAGAGCTGAGCCTCCGCATGCTCAGACCTTCAGGCG